CAACCAACCTCGACAGGCTAGGCTGGTCTCGAATAAATGACTAGACTAGCACAAACATCGTCGACTAGCGTGTGTTCGATCAGAGTTAGTCGAATTATGGTTAATAATGGTCCTTGATGGAACTTGCCCGGTGACACACATTCAGTCATGCGTAATACACGAAAGTCAGTTTGACCCGTTTGATTGTAGACGGGGGTTCTCCAATGAATGCTAGACAAAAATTACGTAATGCACATCTACTATCTCTATTCAAAGGCGACTTCATGCTTGTTGCGGCTTATCACAACAACTCCATTTTTGCGGGAAGCATGAGTAAGCATCTGACTGATCTGTACAGCCTGCCTCTTCAAGGGATCCAGGGACCTATTGCGCTTGACTTTGATGCTTCAGAGAACATGTTGTACTGGACCGAGTATGATGCGAACACTGGAAGAGGTAAACTTGTCAAGGCACATCTCAACGGGAGCAACCATATGACGCTGCTTACCGATATCCGAGGTAAGAGGTTGTTCATGTAGTGTGATGTCCATCGTTCATTTCCATGGAGCCTGAAAGTTGACCCCTGATGTCGCGCTTCAGGAACCCTTTGATAGGAAAAATAACTTGCAAACTAAAGTTTGTACTTTGTAAATTTTTTCGTTCAGTTACCTCTAAAAAACTCTACTCGTAAAGAAGGCCTTTTGTGAAATATTTGCTGGCATATAAATTTATGGACACTGAAGAATTATCTGACCTAAAAGAGAAATATCATGCCAAAAAATTGACCTCTCACTTCCTAAAGTCTAAAATACATGAAGAACAGTGCAATTCGGTGGTCTCGTACGCAGATGAACATTTACCGAATGATACTTCATGGTAGTGTTTCGGTAAAAGCCAAAATAAAAACAGACCAAAATATCTTAAAGGATTTTGTTATTTCTAAGGAAATAAACTTAAAGCAGTGACGCGCTTCTACGAAAGATTCTGATGTATAATCTAACCTTTACTGACAAGAACTGCGTCAGGTCAACTCGACTGACTCTAGAGGCCCTCGACTGCAGGTATGTAAATCTTTGCAAAGTTGTGCAATCTCGTTTCCAAGTAAGCACGGGGAATGAAAACAGACGTGCATGAGGCCTTGGAACGACACTGCCTGAAGTGATAGTTCGTTAACGAAATTCGTTTTTTTACCCATCTCCAGGTGACTTTTCCTGAATGTTCCTCGAGGAGGACAAAGGGAGAATTTCGACATGAGTATTTCTTGGGGTGGTTTCAGTTCGAAATAATTCCCCCCAAAATTATGTGATGTGATAGAACGGCTCGTGTAAAACCCCCATAGGCAGACTGCACGTGGGTTCCAGAAGCTGGCTGCGTGACCTTTTACTTTCAGGCTCTATTGTAAGGTATTATCAGAGAAAATACCTGATAAAACTCATCAACAAATCGGAGGATAATTTAATGAAATGACACATATCAGCACTTGTGTATTTTTCTGTGGTATTGTTTATAAGCCGTTATTATTTTGTTATCTGTTTTGCCACCTTTTTACCCGCAGCCCTGTTATTGTTGTCGATAGATAAAGTAAATGTAACCTAAAAACGCCAAGAAAAAAAATCATGCTAACGCGCTTAACAGTTTAACTCAGAGTCCACTCAGCTACCTCTGAAGTGCCACAGAAGAAAAATGATCAACCAAGTGTGGAACATGGGCTCTGTTGTGCAAAATCTTCATCTCCTTACTGCAGCATATAATGAAGTCACGATCCTTCCTTGCATGCGAGTACAAAGCAAAATCATTGAGTATGAATACTGACACAACAGCTCTGTAAAAGAAAAAAGTTCACCATCTCGTATTGTAACCAAACGCAGTTGCTTTCGGTCTGGCGTTGGATATTGAGGGAGGGAGGGTCTACTGGACTGATAACACCCTCGGTCAAATAGGACGGATCCCTATGGACGGCTCGGGCTCAAAGCAAATCATTATCAGTGGTCTTGGTAGGCCAAGGGGCATCATAACTGATCATGACAGAGGGTGAGTATGACATGCAGCCACATCTTTCTACATGTTTAGAGGGATGGGTACATGAAAATTGTTCTCAAATCGATGCCTAAAAAATGGCAAAAGGTGGTGGTTCTTGTTACCGAGATTTTGAAAACCTGTGCTGAAACCTTTCAATTGCTGTTTCATTTCAAAATCATTCCAGAATTCTGCCCTCAACGGTGATTCACCTCGACAACTCTTTTAACCTCTCAAAACAGGCCCTAGACTATATACTTACGTTGCATCAGCCATATCAATCAAGAGAGTGCAACAGACTGGTAGATCTCATTGCAACCCAGTTGATGATAAAGCGTGTGTTAGTTTCCTTTTCACCTTCACTTCGTTTTTTTCTTTTTGCCTGTTGAAATCTCCCAAATCATAGCAAATTTTAATGTTACAATGATATACGATGATTTCAACACCCAGTTTTGGTCCGAAACGGCAACACATATTTGCTAAAAATGTGCATGGTCGTTGCCAGACTTTTTCCGGTGGGGGGAACCGTCCAGTTAAAACAATACATTTAACTGCAGAAGGCGGGGTCAATCTTCCAGAAACGTTCTTTCTAATTCACATTAGGGAAATTTACTGGACGGACGTGGGAGACGATTCCATCGGGCCGAGGATTGAAAAAGCAAACTTGGATGGGACGAACAGAGTTACCCTGATTAACGACAATATAGTTTGGCCCCAGGCTGTGATCCTTGATAATGCAGGTATTTTTTAAATTAATTATAGAGAAATCCGGCAAACCTCTTCGACGACAGAAATCTTTAGAGAAACTTCCTATGTCCAAGTGTCAATACAAAAAGAGAATGGCAACCAATTGCAAAGTGTCTGAAATACATGATTGCTAGTTCCTATCCATGATGAAATATGTCATAAATGTCAAGCGTCTCTGCCTCCGAACATTGTGCATTGTGTATTCATTGGTCGTTGATACATTGCATATCAGTTCTGAAGAAAATAGAATCTTTATATTACCGTGTTAAACATTAGTATATGGATATACTAATTATTAGAAAGATGTCTTTCTACAGCCGTTAATTTGTACTGGTGCGATGGAGAGTTGAACACAATCGAACGGACAAATCTTCTGGGAAACAACCGGGAGGTTCTCATCAATCTCACAATCTACGCGCCGATCCACCCCTTTGATCTTGCATTATACAACGACTATATGTACTGGAGCGATGTGTTCAAAGAATCGCTCATTCGCGTCCATTTGAATGGAAGAGGAGAACAGATTTTCGGCTCACAGAGATTTGCAGAGATAAGGCGAATTCACATCCAAACAGGTTTGTAAATAGGAGGTTGAACATTCTTTTGGGAACTTGACATCGCCACTTCACTCCTGGCTACATTACGATAGTCTGCCTCAAGCACAATAATTTCTTCCACAAGAGCTGATTGGTCGGGCCGAGCGAAGTTTTAAATCTTCAGTCTCGTTTGACATACGTGCAAGGAATATGTAAGATAAGTGTGCACCTCTTTATTTAAAACACGAAACTTTGCATCCAGGTTTTTATTCATGAGCAAAATGCTTTCCACATGCAGCGAAAGCAAATGCAAATTTCCTTAAAGCTCACAAGTCTACTGATGTGTCCTAGAAAATTTCTGTGATTCAAATTAAATAAGTGTAAATGATCCGCTACCTTTGGTACAAATTTCAGCATCCTTTCAGAATGAAATAGGCGTCTTTGATTTAACACATACTTATCTATATATTCACAACCAATAACATGAATTGCATTAGGAACTTTCGTGTGTAATGTGTAGGCATGTAATGTAGAAATTCGTTCTTAAAGCTGCATGTCACACTTGAAAAATTCGATTTCATTCTGACCTACCTCCCATTCTTACAGAACCCAACTACTGTGACAGCTCCCCTTGTCTCAATGGGGGAACCTGCGAGGATGTTGTGAACGGGTTTGTGTGTCACTGTGTCTCAGGCTTCTCTGGCGTTAGGTGCTCTAAGAGTAAGTCGCCCACATCCAGTGGCGTATTCAGTGGGGAGGGGGGAGAGACACGGGGGCAGGGCATCTTGGCCCCCTGACAGGAATTTATGCTTTTTTAAAACAAAAAATGGGTAAGGGGGTATTTTATTTATCAAATATGAGCACCAAATCCCCAACAACACAACACCAGCAGATGTAGGCAGGGATGTCGGGACCATGGGTTAGGCTTTTGACTATTTTCTCCACAACATCGGATTGCAGAAGCATTTGTTTTTGGATTTGTCCCCCACTCGATATCAAAAGCTGGACACGCCGCTGCCCACACCTCAATCCCGGAGCACCCCCTTTTATATCACAAAGCTCTGCAGTGGCTTCAAAGTAAACAAAGGAAAAGTTCGAATGTTTAATTTCGCACGTCTAGCAGCTGCTGGCGTAGGACAGGCCCAAAGTGTAGGACCCAATCTTGTTCAAGAGAGGTTTGCTTTGGTGAAAACAGTTTTCTAAGCTCTATAATCTTCTGAAGCTAAAAAAAATGAAACGTTTTGGGGTTCTGTTTGCAACATGGAAAGTAAAACATTTTGAAATGCCTTTATTGCTTGTAATTAAATATGACATGTACTCTTGTGTGCTAATTTGGCAAAGAATTCAATTTTTGTGCTCGTTATTCATTTGCAACTTTCTTTGGCCTATTGGAACAATCCATAATTTTTATAAAAATTCAAAAGTTCAAAGAACTATGAAAGGGAAATATTGTATGACTTACTAAAACTCTTAAAAGTGCTTCTCTGGGTTTCAATTTACATTACTTTATATTGTTGTTTTTATCATTTTAACCTTTATTTTGCAGCTTTTCTGCTCATGCCATTTTGCATATTAGCAAAATGAAGATGTCATCCAAGGCATTGAACCTCAATGTCGCACTGCTTTGCTCGCAAAAAGTTTCTTGAAGACTGTTGCAGATTTTGTTTCCTTTGCGAAATATTGTTGAATAAGTATAGGATTTAGATTTGTTTTTAAAACTGTTCTCAAATAGCAGACTTGGAGTTCACGATTTTTGAACATGAAAACGTGTAAACTAAGCAGTGTATTTTTGGATTTACATCAAGGCAAAAGTGCCCACTTTTTTCCGGAAGTGCTTGATCAATTTTGAACGTTTAAAAAAGTTCGCTTTTCACTTCAAATACATTGAACGAGAGTAAGATACACACCCAAATGAAACGTACAGATGTTTGTCCAGTTTCACACGGATCTAGATCTCGATCAGTAACCCTAACGCTGGTTGTTTACTCGGGCTTTGGTGTCCGTAGATGCGATGGATCACTGATAGTGATCCACGTCCGTGTGAACCAAACACGGCCGTACGACACCTACATTAACTCCTCTTTCTCTCATATGGAGGTATATAAAGAAGAGCAGTAACCAGACACCACTCATTCACTTCTCGAACCATCGATTGCTGCAGCTCCTGATGTTGTAACAGTTCCGATTGGTGGGGAAAGTTTCACTTTGACAATGAAGACTTTGCGCACAAAGACTCATATATACAAGTACATATTGCTTTCGTCTTTGTTTACAAGATCACTGCAGCTGTTCACCGTGTCTCAATGGAGGAACCTGCATCTTTTCGCCTGAAGGATTCGTCTGTCAATGTCCCGCAGCATATCAAGGACTGACCTGTGAACGTGGTAAAACTGATAAGACTTTGTTGAAAAAATAATAGCCTGTACTACGCTGGTCGTTGGTTAATCGAGTAAAAGGAGAATATTAATGCTGATACCTTGATATCTGTTGCAGTTTAATATTCATAACTGTCGCTCTTAACACCCCCCATTTTATCTGCCATTACTTCTGTAATGGGCCAGTTTCATTCAAATTGGCGTATTAACCAAGCCATATTGTTTCAGGCTTGAGGTGAATTGAATATTCTAGTAATACATGTTGAAGTAATTCTGCTAAACGAATTAAAATTCATTCTTTATCCTCCATTGGATCTACGCTGGATGAGAAAAAGCTCGATTTTGGAAAAGCTTCAAAATTTCAAACTTGACAACAAAAACATTGACCAGCACCAGCATATTATGCAATAACATACAAATTATGTTTACCTGTCCAGATCCTTGCAATAGTTCCCCTTGTCTGAATGGCGGAATTTGTGCCATTTCACCGGGTGGATTCATCTGTCATTGTCAGGCACCGTACGAAGGACCAACATGCACGCTCGGTAAATATGAGGAGAATTTTTTAAAATTTGTCTTTAAACAATGATTTGCTTGTCTTTTGCAAGAATTTAACATTAAGAGGCCTTCTAATCTCTTGTCTAAATAAATATTTGTAACTGCTGTTCCGAAATTGTCAGGTTTGAGGTAAATCATGGGCCTTCGTTTTTTCATCAATTGCAGTCATTCTCCAAACTGAAACTTTTCCCTTCATAAGATCTGTGCAGGGAAAAACAGAGAAATTTTGCTAAAGCTTCACGGTTTCATCCTTTATAACGAAAACATTAACCCTTGCTTAAACATGGAATAATACGCAAATTTTGTTTACCTATACAGATCCCTGCGATAGTTCCCCTTGTCTGAATGGCGGAATTTGTGCCACTTCACCGGGTGGATTTATCTGTCATTGTCAGGCACCGTACGAAGGACCAACATGCACGCTCGGTAATCGTGAAATCACTTCATGAATATTTTAAGTTTACAACACATATCTACAAACGAGAATGTTTCATATTGTTATTTTCTGTTTTCATCACCCAGATTTCCATTTTTGATTGTCATCTGTGCTTTTCCTTTTTTTCTTCCATCAGCCCCTGATTATATTCTAAAACCTTTTAGCTTATGAAAATTCCATGAAGTGTTATAACCTTTACCTCTATTGTTCCCAAGATCCGTGCAACAGCTCACCGTGTGTAAACGGGGGGACTTGCATCGGTTCTGCCACTGGATTCACTTGCCGATGTCCGGCTCGTTATGGCGGCCCAACCTGTACATTTGGTAAAGAGTACATCTTTGAGAAAGCTGAAATTTTCAAAAGGAAGAAAGCACATGAAAAATGTGAAGTGAAGAATTGCGGAAAGAGCGCGCAGGTCCCTTCGAGGATTATTCTAAACAGCATTTGGCATAATCAGTTATAGTGAAAGCGAGAGCTCCTGGCATGAATCAGTTCTTTTAAAAAAAATACCATCTTATATTAGTAGACCGCTAAGAATGGAGTCCATTTTGCGATGAGTTTGGCCTGTTCGTGTTTGAACACGTTCTAGGCCTGCCGGCTGCATGTATTATCCGGTTCGTAAGTGTGACGTGGCCACGCAAAGAGGGCAATTTTGACTGCCGAATGCAACGCACACGTGTGTTATGTTAATCGTGCCGAATTTTTGTATCCGTGAAAGTGAACGTAACGCACCCAAAACGTTTGTGCTTAATGTTTAATACATTTCTAACACAAAAAGGCGTAAAAAAGTTGCGACCCAAACCGACAAGGCGCCATTTTGTAAGTAGGCAGAAATACTTTGATTTGCTCCCTAATATTCATATCTTTACATATAAATGTTAAACCTAGATTCAACCCGTGCAAAAATATCCCATCGACCTTGAACTGGCCGCTCATGTGTTGTAAGGTCGGCACATCCGGGCATTCCACCATTTTTTTCAGGAAAGGCGTCTTTGATGAAGACCACTGACAGGCACAAAGGCTAAGTTCTTACTTGTACTGTACACTGGTATGATGGTTTGCAGTTGATGGCTGTGTGGCCCCACCAATGTCCGATCACGTTCGGCTGTTGGAACGAGATGTCACCGTGTTCACCTATGGGGAAAGTGCTACCTTTACCTGTGATAACGATTACACCATCAAAGAATCTGCCGATCACTCCGTGAAGCGCTTATGCCTGTCAGATGGTACTTGGTCCGGAGAACCAGTGGAATGCTTCCCCTCTGAGACTGATCCAGGTGTGTTCCTGACAAACATTTTAAGAGTATATATTGAGACACAACCGAGGACAGATGGGGGGGGGCAACAGAAAGTTCAGTTCCTACCAAAGGAGCCTTCGTTGCTTGGAAACTTGTGCCTTCTCTTGATCCAGTTTGGGCTTATTGTCAGAAGTGCCAAGTGTATGTTGACTACTTATAAGGGCAAAGCATTATATCATTTCAAGGGTGTAGGCCTATGCCTGGAAGATCTTCTTTAATATTTTTCTAGCCGACAGATCCCCATCGGTGGTACCCATAGCTTCAGGAGTCGGGGGAGCTTGTTTCGTTGTCTTTTTGTTGATCATTGTGGTTGTCGTCTTCAAACGGTAATTTATTTTCCAATGGATTAAACCACAGGTTGCTCAGGAAGTCCAAAACACATGAAGCATTATGGATAATGTCATTGAACACATAAGTAAACGTTTCAGTGCATATGATCTTTGAACCTGAACAGAACAATGCCATTTTGACGTTTTCCATCTAAGTGAAATGATTTTGTGTTTCTATAATATCACTTCTTTTGTGATCTCTTACTATGTGCAGTTGGAAGAGGCAGCGAGAGGAAAGAGTTGTTGACGTCCCAGCCGTGTCTTATCACCACAACCCTCCTCCTTCATACATACCGCCTACTCGTCATGAGCCTCCCGGGTATTTTCCAATGGGAGCTATCAACCAGGGGTTTGGAACCAACAACGCTGAGGCCAACGTTGTCCCGGTGAAACTAATCCCCCCGCGGGAACCCAGAATCTATGAAACTATAGTGGATTGAAGAGCTTGGTGAAAAGTTTGGTATTGAAACTATGTATGCGCATATCGATACGTGGGAATTTTGCTTCTGGACAAACGCGGTGTACCATATCACACATTATATATTAGAATGAAGATTTTTTCAGGACTACTTTGTTAGGTACTCAAATTGTTTCTGGTTACGGACCAAATTTGTTCTTTATAACCGATTGTTAGGTCGTTGTGTTTTTTCGCGCTTCGGTGGGTCACTTTTTGGCACCCTAATGTTAAAGAGAAAATTGATGCGGGCATGCGTGATCAGAATCCTCAAATTCTAACACAAGGGTTTTCTGCGTTAAGTTCACTTTAAAGGACTCTATTCTATTTCCTGGATTTTTATTAGCAAGTTTAGCGAGAAGGATAGCTCGGTGTCTTTGCATTCATTTCGATTGGGCGAGTTTTTTTTCTCTTTTTTGCTTTTTAAATGAATTTGGAAGATGGAATATATATTTTGTTTCTTTTATTTCAGAAAAAAAGTGAACTTCAAATGTTTTGGTCCCCACTTGTGTACGTTCAGTCTTGAGGGGCGTCTAAGCTAGTATTTCAGAGTTATCTCATAGATGATTCTACACAACATTGATGACAATAGACATATAACACAATGACGTAACGCCTTGTTTACATGTGCGCTTTCCTGTGGCAGTGAGGCAGGACGCGATCCATCCAGTCCCCATATAAACAAAGCGTGACTACAGTATGTTTTAGTCTATTCTCGTTGCATGTTTGCACCGACCTAATCAGACAATCCCGACCCTTCCAAGAATTCACTGGCACTCAGTCCTATAGCGGTGCTTTAGCCGAATCCATCACAAGTTCCTGGAATTCCGTCAGAAGTCCTTTTGTAATCCATGCAGTCCTACCACAAGTCCAAAGCTCTGAACGAACTTTCCGACAAAAGCATCCTGTCGTCATCGTTAACCCCGTTTAACATGTCGGGTTTTAGTGAAAGGAATTATGACAAGACCTACGAATGGCAGTTGATGGCGGAATTTATTTTTTTTGCACAGCGAAATTACACCAGTGACATGAAACGTGAGCTATGATCGAAGTGTAAAAGATTCTTTCGTTTTGTATTATACACACAAATGCCTGTACAACAAAGACTTTGTCCAAGCGACGTGGCCGTGGCAGGCAGTAACGCACACGTCTTTTGTTCCTGCGGATAATGGTTCCCGTTGCCATCCCCGCCCCCAATCCGCCTTTTTGCTCTTTGAAGGCCTGTACGTGATCAAAAGTTGGATATAAGACTTCTGAAAAATAATTATGCTTGAGTTTGAAAACAATTGTCAATGACGATAGACTTTGGAGCAATGACTAGGCATGGGCTTAAATCCGGGGGGGGGGTGTGGATGGGGGATTTATAACTTATTGGCCTGGGTGGGATGGGCTATTGAACCCCCCCCACACACAGACTTTTTTGTGGTTTGTGATTTTTTTCAACTTTCTAACAGCCATTCTCTATTCAAAGCTCTCAGAAAGGGGTAATAAAAACTACAAATACGTTGTTCTGGTGTAACGCATATTACACATGTAAATCTGTATCACGAACATTATCTGCCATTAAACAATGGTGTTAGCACCCCCCCTCCGCTTTTCAAATCGCCATGGCCGGGTAAGTCAACCCCTCCCCATTCCCCATATTTCCGGCACAAACGTGCGCCATTGTCACTTGCATACGTAGTTATTACGCAGTTAAACGCTTTACGTTAATATAAGCTATAACACGCATAAGGTAATTACTCACCGTAGTATTAAAGAAAGCATTTTGAAAGGATTCTTGCGCAGTTACCATGCACTGATGTGAACAAAGTATGTAGCAGTGATGTAAGAAATTTAGCAGTTTAGAGTTTTATTGGACATGAAAAAATACACCTTGACCGATTACAGGTTGAAAGGAAATAAAAGTAAAGGTTCCAGCAACAAAAAATAAAATGCTCCAAGTCGCAAGTATTTTTTTCTGAGTGGATTGGCCTACATTTTGCCTTCTATGCACCTCCTTGGGGGCGGTAAAAATGGAAACATAGATCCAAGGAGGCATCCAAAAGGAACTGAGCTTGGGCACTCAACAAAGGCACATGTCAACAATTATGAACTTGCAGGCTAGGGAAACGTCAATTTGAAGTCATGACTCTGCACCTATGCTGCTGTTGCCCACGAACTCGAATGTATTCAAAGTTACCCTTGGCATTCATTAACGACTACAGCGACTTTATTTCAAAGCACTTACACTTCGTGAAGAGTACCAGCACCTATCGGGGGCCGGGGGGGGGGCTTGGAAGTTTGTGTGCATAAAGAAACTTCGTCGTGTTTAGAGTAAAATTCTTCTAGCATCCTTGGAACAAAGTCAGTATGGTCGTAGATCAAACGGTCACGTTGTTTCAACGCCTCCAAATGTTTGAGGCCCTGAAGATTGTGCAAAAGTGACTGGATCTACAGAAATGAGTCTTGATGAGGCCACTCTTCGTTATTTAGGAATGTTTTGATTTTGTTTTACTTTCCCACTAGGCCTTGTTTGACATGTTGAGTAATACCATGCATATCGGTATTGAAACTACTCTAATCGTTCCATTGCATTAAAAAGGTGCCAAAAAGCGAAAAATATACTTTAATTGCGCAAAAAATTTAAAACAAACTACAGGTGATATACACGTGCAGCAGTGCAACTTGAGTCACGAATAGACCTCACTGCGCGGAGTTCTCTTGTGGGAATGGTACAGACCACACTCAATTCGTTGAATTACTTAGAATTTCAATGGGGAAAAACCGTAAAAATGTAAACTTCTTCTTGTATGAACACTGTACGCAGCAGAGACTTAGCATGCTTTTTACACGCTCATTTTTGTACCACTCTTGCATTTCTGCGTGGTACAGAGTGTATAAAAACAGTGAATTCAGACGTCACACAAGACACGTCAGAAAGCTAGTGAAAGGGAAATGAAGTCATGCGAGTAATATACTTACGGGAGTCTCATGGCACGACGAACACTATTGGGCAGAAAACGGAGGGCTGCATTTCTAACCAATGACGGTTGTCGTCCAATCACAATGAGTTTTACATATGACACGGAGAAGTGACTAATGCAGGAAATACCGGAAGACCAGCTCTCATTGAAGCATAAAATAATTATTGAGTCACAACTCTGTGAAGTCGCCCCGGCTGTTGCAAGATATAGAAACCGCCAACGCATTGACACTAAAAAGGGGCGCTCCAGTCTCTCGCAAAGCATCTGTTGAAGGTTGGTCTGACGATATTGAATGCTCAGTTGAGGTAAACTTTAGGCATTTTGTTGGAAAAAATGAAGATTAGCCGAAAGACCCCGATTTATAATTATTTTTAAATGACGATTGCAACCATTTTTTGTCACCGATGGACCACATACAGGGAAACCATCTAACCCGTTTTATACTAAGCACGGAAGCAGGTTGTTATCGTGGAACAAAAGAAAGAACTTTTTTATATAGCCCAACAGCTGGAAAAAACCTTTGTACATGCAGCGTAATTTGGTTTCCTATTTGTAGACTGCTTAACATGTTTTTTCTACTTTCCACTGTATAGGAGAGCTGGATCACTTGAAACGGCAGAATGTCGTTTGATACTCTCTACAAACAATGATTACATAGGTTTGCTTGGTGCTGCGAGAGCGTATGGCTTTATCATTGAAACAGTTGATAGAGGAGGACGTTGACATCTTTACATTATTTTGCTCCACTATACCGGAATAGGCCAGTGTTCAACATGGGCGTTTTTCAACGAGTAATGAATTTCCTAGACGTTCGCACGGTTCTGTTGGGGTTGTTTTGTCTGCTGGTGTTGCGCCGGTGGCTCGGCCGGCCAAAGAACCTGCCTCCCGGCCCCTGGGGCTTCCCAGTCCTCGGCTCTTTCCCAGCCATTGCCTGGGCGATGTGTCGGGGCTTGGAGCCACACCATCTTTTTAAGAAGTATGCCGAGAAATACGGGCCTGTGTTTTGTCTGAACATTTTCAACAAGAGAGTGGTGGTCCTGAATGACTACGCTTTGGTGAAGGAAGCATTCCAGCATCCACAGCTAAGTGACAGACCAAAAAATCTCATCACTGAGGTGTCCAAGACAGAAGGTGAGTCGCAAGCGCTCATCAGGAGACGATACTGAGAAATCTGATCACATTAAAAACAATTGCTAAATTTATTTTTAAAAATAATGATGTTCCACTCAATTTAATTTGAGTTAATTGGGGCCAAACTTTAATTTTACATCGGCAATATTTTCACATTTAACGGCAAATTTTCACATTCCAACTTAAGCAGGAAAATGTTTGTTTTATTTTTTTCAATTAGAGAATTTTTTAAATTAATGCTCTTTCAAATGTTTTTTTCTCTCTTGGAACCACTGTAGAATGTTGCACTTGTTTTTTATTCTGTCATATATGACTAGCAATTATAATTGACATGCAATTTTTTTTAAATTCTGAAAATGTTTGATTGTAGTTTGGAGATTTTCCTTTTTGGTGCACCTCTAGTGTTTTATCTTTCTGTTTTTCAAGGGTAATGAAACTAATGCGCATGAACTCATGTTCATGACACAGTTATATAGGCTACACCATAGGTAGAGATTTGTCTATACAGCTCCAGGAAAACATTCAGCGCTTTGAAATTAAGGGATAAACTTGTATAGATTATTTTCGGTCATGTGATTTTAAACAGTCAGCGTTCAATTTACACAGATGTGCGCGGAAACGTGCGCCTATGAAATCTCTCAACATTCTGGCATACATTAAAGTGCCAACAGAAATACCCAGAATCGAAAATGCTTGCGTTTCCGTGGACGTGGTACGGTACGTTTCCTGAAATTCCTCTCCCGTCATGTTATGTCACGTTGAAAACCTCTATGGCCTTACCAAATTCTCTGTGCAAAATATATCCAGGGAATCGTCTGTGCCCATTAACATAAAAAAATCCAAAGTTAAAAAACGAAAGTTACGGATAGATTTCTCAATTTCCGCCCATTCTCCAATTCACCAAATGTGAACTGGGATAGACTTGTCTAGTCCCATCAAATGCTCTCTACAATCGGGACAGACCTCGCTATTCCGCCTATTCTGCAGGCGAAAAACATAGGCCGTAATAAAAAGCCTCTATGTCATGTTTGAAAATAAGTCGTTGACGTTAAAATGTCAGAATTTTGACAGGCCTATGCTTAAATGTTTTTAAAAATCCAAGAACGAGCGGCAGTAATTTTGTAAAAACCTACTATGGCGAGCCGTATATAGGTCCCTTTTAGGCCACTATGACAAGATATATGAAAATTCCTTTTAAACCAGTCATTTGTCCTGGTGTATGCCATTGCATTAAGACCATGCAAGGTTGACAACTTTGTCCCAGTTTCCCTAATGTGTCCCTACATGGTTCATACATCGTGAAAAGTTTGACGGGGCTTTAACAAACCTATCTCTATTTTGTACTCCATCTGCCTGTTTGCTAGAAATGCACAGTTCTCTACCTAATTCGTACTTTACAGCTAGGCAGTTTATAGGATCTAAAAAACGGGACTGTCGAATGATCTTGAAATATCTTCCTGCAAAGTAAAAACATAATATAGTGTCACACACTCTGTGAAATCTTACCACCAGGAATGCGGTCTTTTTCCGGGAAAGAGAGATTTTATGTTTTTGGAAAATAGAGCTCGTTCAAATAGGCCCAACCTCAACCGTTAACAGGCACAGCAAAAATGTGAGTGAAGCATTGAGCTGGATATTTAAATAGATAGGCCTACTATACAAACTGGGGCAACACGCCTTCCGTAAGCCTAAAATCATTGTTAACTAATGAAATAGATACATAACAGTAACTGATAGTCTAGAGAAGAATTTGGACTGGTGTAATATTAAATTTTTTTCATGAAACTTTGGACGTTATCACCCTTTATTAAGATAATGGTAGGCCCCTATGGTCCAATGTCTATTCCTTTCGAGCTCCGTAGCGAAGCCTGATTTTCTTGAACAAAATCTCCAATTTCGAGATATTTCGTTTCGTTTTTTTTCAATAACAGTTACTTTCATGTCCAAAAATGCAAGGATAGTTACCATATTTGTTTATTAATAAAATGCTAATGATGTGTACTGACAATGTGTTTCTGGCTGACATAAGTCCGTGCCGAGAGCGACTGTGGTCGATCGTGCACTTGTACGTGTACATGCACACGTACTGTACGTGTATGTGTGGTCGCACAGTGACTGTATGGTGGTGACTTCAGTCTCTTCACTGCCGGTGAAACGCTGTTTAATAGATAAGTTCTCGTTGCATTGTTGAAGAGGAAACACAAACTTGAAGGTAAACATGCCAACCACTAGTACTACGCAAAGCCATTTTCATAACTGGTCTGCAAGTAGACCTCGCCTGTCATTGTACATGGCACCCAGTAACGCCCTGTGGCTCATGGATTTTTAAGAGACAAATTACATGAGCTGCGTTTTGAGGGTTAAAAACGAACAGCATTTTTCTCGTTCTGTCTCAAAGCAGTGATCTCCAAAGTGGAACAAGTTCGTGGAATGATACACAACGTAAATCACAAACCTTAAAATCGGCGAATTTTGACAAATTTAAGTACATGCAAATCCTATATTGCCTTTAAAGAGTTTGCTAACGTACTGCATTGAAGAGTTCGCCAAGGATAGACAGTTCTATCCCTACTTTGTACTGCATTAAAATGTATGTAAGGTTCGACCTGGCTTGATGACATTGTTAAGGATAGACAACTGTGTCCGTTGTTGACATGCTGTACATATTGCCAGGCCTAAAGGAATTTTTCCTTGATTTAGGAATATGTTAGGTTCTAGATTTTTCATATTTCAATCTGACTTGATACTTGGCTTGGGTTATCAAGATTGCCTTTTCGTTGAGTATTTGTGATGCGTCAAATTTGAAGGAATTACGTGTTTTATGCAGCTGTTCTGCATGTTTATTTATAAAGAAAAAAATTTCCCTTCAGAAAAATCATAATCCTGTAGAATTATTTCGAAAAAGATGCAGGAAAGAAGGTCAGTTTATAGTCACAAGAAGTTAGAAGAGAGAGAAATTGAACTGAATAAAATGTGTTTGGGAAGAAAGTGGTTTGTTAGCCTTATGTTGTTGTGTTTTGGGTGTTTCAATTAAAAAAATCCAGGTTATCATTGATAGATTTAAAAGCAAAATTTAACAGCATCTAATTTCATACTAACGGTGTGCAAAGTTTATTTTCTTTTTGATTCAAATCTGAGAAAGGTAGCTATAAATTCATAACTTTATTTCATGTTCTGCAGGACGTTTTGAATAGGGTGCTTTGATTTTTCGTCTATTATTCCATTTAAATCATCATTTTAATGCTCAAGTTTTTAAGAAGTCAAAATTAATGTGAATTTTGCAGTTAAATGTGAAGGTGCTTTGAAATTCATCTTTTTAGATTTGCGGTTTTCAGTGTAACTCATAAACAAAATTTTATATAATTCGAATTCATCTACGTTTTACAACTGTACAGACAACTTTACAGACACGCAGCATGAGCTCCTTCTTATATGAGGCCATACGGTGCCACCAAGTACATAATTATTTTAAAGAGTAAAGTACGTTCATCGAAGTCCTTCATACAACACTATTTCCGAAGTCTGTTTCTTCGAGACTAATATTCTCTGCTTTGTTCTCATGATATCTATATATAATCATTGTTTCTATATTTGGAAGCAAATCGTTTCCAAGAGAGATATTTTTTCAAGTTGGTATTTATTGAAGTTATTATTTGAAGTTTGTGTTAACTTGTTGTACTTTTTGAAGTTTTTTGGTAAAATATATATTTAAATCAAACCTAAAAATATATCACTTGAAAATTATCTTGGGAAAGTTCTTAAAAGACTAGATCAAAATTCTCCTAGAAACAGTTTACTTCCAAAATTAGAAACAATATTTCTAGAAATAGAACTAACTAAAAATATATATATTGTTAAAGGTTATATATTGAAGGTTGAAAACACTTTACAAAAACAAACTTCGCAAAAATATTCTTCACGTTTTGAAAATCCATGGCTTTTCGTACATCATTCACTTGAAAGATGCCTGCATGTTTGCTTTTTATCTTCGGAGTTTGCATTTTCATGATTCCAGCAAATGCTGTACTGACATTCTTTTTAAAGAGGTCCTCTTTTCTTCGGGCGAAGTTTGGATGGAGCTGCGTCGGTTCTGCCTGACTGTACTCCGGAGTTTCGGGGTCGGAAGGACGAGCTTCGAGGAGAAAATTGGTATTGAGGCCGAGGAACTCATCAAAGAAATGGCTGCCTTCAAGGGCGGGCCCTTTAATCCAAAACCACTCCTTGGCAACGCGGTGGCTAACGTCATCTGCTCCGTCATCTTTGGTAAGCGCTATGCATACACTGACCGGGAGTTTGCCCATCTTCTTGATTTGCTAAGCCGTAACATTAAGCTGGCCGGAGACGGAGGTATGACTCTTATCTTTCCCAGTATGCGTCATCTCCCCTTTCTTCCTACTTCTGAGCTGATATCAAATCTGAAAGCCATTCGGGCATTTATTAAGAATGTCATTGACTCCCATCGTAAAACTTTCGACGCTGACAACCTAAAAGACCTTACCGACGTGTATCTGATGGAGATCGAACAAATTCAAGCCAAAAATAAAGGGGGAGGGGAATTCGATGGGGAAAATCCCCAAACTTCCAGATATAGTCACTTGGGTGAACGTAACATAGTAGGAACAATTTCCAATCTCTTCGCGGCTGGCTCAGAGACTACGGCGACCACCCTTCAGTGGTGTATTCTGTACATGATGTTGCACCCTGACGTCCAGAGTCGAGTCCAGGCTGAGATCGACGACGTAGTCGGTCGCAACCGGCTGCCCAGAATGGCCGACGTTCCGAAGCTGAATTTAACCCGAGCGGTTATCTGGGAGGTCCAGCGCCTGGCTAACATCGTTCCCTTGGGCGTCCCGCATTGTGCTGCTTTGGACACCACCATCCGAGGTTTCCTGATCCCAAAGGGTTCTTTCCTCATGTCGAATTTGTGGATGATCTTTCAAGATGGGAGGGTTTGGCCAGAGCCCAGGCAGTTCAAACCCGAGCGATTTTTGAACGAAAAAGGAGAAGCAGTCAGGACTGAAAAGTTGATACCGTTCAGCATTGGTAAGCAAACTTTGGTTATAAAAGCATTAACTGGCTCAAAAACCCATGGGACTATATGGGAGTGTTGAATTCATGAAAAGGGTTCCCCAGTAAGGTGCATCATGCGCGTACATAATTTGGAAGGGAAGAAAACGCATTGTCTACCTGTCTTGCTTACCGCGAAATCTTTTATAACCGAAACACAAATAATGCCCACTATCAATATTACTGATACTGCAAGCCTGCCTGCAAGAGATGTCGTTCTATTCGCCTGCTTGCGGTATGAATTTGAAATTTGTATTGTCTTACGGTTTACTGATAATTTTAAAGGGGGTATTGCCGTATTTGCCTTCACCACTATCCTAACAATTCATGTTTTAGAAATCCTTATTTTTCCCTGTTTCTCTCTGTTAAAATTTCGACTTGTTAGGCAGGCGTAGCTGCATCGGCGAGCACCTGGCCAAGATGGAGCTCTTTCTCTTCTTCAGCTTCTTCATGCATCAGTTCACCTTCAAGAAACCCGACAACTCTCCTCCGCTGTCGCTGTCGCTCAAGGGAAGGGGTGGCATAACGCGGTCCCCGCTGCCGTTCGACACTTGCGCCATCTTACGTGACTGATGTACATCTCCACCCGCATTCCCAGATTTCGTTTTATTTCTAATATCTTTCCAGAAGTATTCTTTCCAGAAGAAAAAATACCCTTGACAAGAAAATGATTTTCCTATTGCACGTTCAGAAACGATACGGGAGCCACAGGGGTAATGATTATTAAGAAGTGCATTTGGTATAATCCCATCATAATAGACATTTTTCACTTTTTTTCTGTAAAATCCCCCCTTACAATTTTTATTATATGTGAAATGTGAACATGGATTTTTTTATCGAGCCACGAAATATTGACTCAGCTCGTAAAAAGTTTATCAGAAGATGTGACTTAACCCAATATTAAAATTATTTGTCATCAATATGCATATTTTGGATTAAGCTAATGCCATGCTGAGGAAGCACGTAACCGTATCCACACTTTCCTTTTGATGATGAACATGGTCAACATCTGTTCATCTTCTGAAGAGCGCATGTGGTATAAACGCTGAGGATGACCAACTAATGAAAACAATTTTGAAGAATTTTTAATTGTTTATTATAGAAGCGCTAGAGCCAGATTAATTCTCGGTGAGGAAAACTCAATAAAAATAGAATAAAGATATAGCTTTTCTTGAGCGGGAAGGACGATAAAAAAGCACTTCCGTTTGGTTCGTCCGTTTTTTGCCAAATACCAGAAACTTCACTCGTTGAAGAAACGACTATCCTCTGAAAGCCAAAGGCAGGACTGCTCACTCCTTGTATGGCATGTCCCTAATACAGCTTCGTGATAAGGCACCGAGCCCGACGTAGACATGTGTGGAATGTGGATATTCTTAATCAAATTTAGACGTTAGATGTACCCTGTTCGTTTAAGAAATCTCGACAAACATTTGGTTAAAATCTAGCTTTTCTTCAGGCAGAATGCAAATAAGCAAGAGAATAACCGTTCAGCTGAACACAAAGAGGATTTATGGCATATGCCTTTTTTGGGGTCTTTTTCGTGTAAATATCAGAGTAAAAAGTAAGTCTTGTAGCCAGCACATTCCTGTAGTTTATAACCGTAGGTCTGTAGGTCTAATGTGTAACCTTCCCAATTAATACTTCTTCGAAATCGATATTGCAAGAACATGAAGAAATTGTGCACAATCGTCAAAATGTTCAGTTTGACTTCCCATTTTCATTAGTTCGTTTTTGGTTGAGATTTACTGATTACATATTAATACAGTATAGACGGTGGTACAGTGAAACGTTGAGAACAGAAATTTCATGTCATGCCATGTCATTTCGGGTCATGTTTTAGTGGAGGACGTCACGTTGAAGGACCATTATTTAATACGTCCATTTGCTTGAAGTTAAATTGCAGTGTGTTTTTAATGAGGTTATTTAATGTGTTAGTTATTAAGGAAGCTGTCGATCTAGAGATTATCATGTATTTGTTCTGACCCAGATCTTTTCGGTGTTCTACTCATGTACCTCAGAGTAGTTGACTCCGGACCATGAACGAACAGCGGTGCTGGTAATTTACCAAGGCACCGTTAGAGAACTCAGAGTTTGGTGGAAGTAGACATCGAGTCACCGAAGCGAGAACCATGGAGGAGACCTTGCTTGTCCCCGCATCTTCAACACGATCATTGGTGTGATTGAGCTGATCGGGAACGCCATTGTGGCCACTGTTATCTGCAAGGTGAAGTTCATGCACACATGTAACCAATGCTTTCATTTGCAACCAGGCTATGGTGGATTTCCTCGGCTCTCTCTTCCTGTTGGTAACCAGCAACATCCCAGCCCCCGATCCCCTCCCTGATACTCAAGGCAACCGAATTGTTTGCCATCTCTGGCTGTCCAACTTTTTCGTATTGGCCTGCTTCATCTCCTCCTTCAACCTGGTGGTTCTCACCTGCGAGCGGCAGGCCTATATTTTGTAAATAACATCTTGCCGTAACTTTTATTTTTAAAATGCACTTGTTATATTGCCCATAACTTACGTATTGTAAAATGTTTGTACTAATAAGGAAGGATAGTTCGTATGTGGTCTGATTTCAAATTCAGTATTTAAAGAAATCATTTTGAAAGAATATGCGTGGTTGTAAGTGATACATGTACATCAGTATTTTACATGGCTCCTGCAATAATTACTATGCACAAATGTAATAGTTATAAAAATTATAACAGCAGAATACTGGCTGACTCGATAGGAAAATAAAAAAGGTAAAAGTTCCAGCATAAAGTTGAAAGCTCCAACTCGCAAGTATTGTATTGTTGAGTGGATTGGTGGACACCGTTACTTTTTCCACCTCAAAGATCATTTGGTGTAGTAAAAATGAAAAACACATCCTTTGCGGCATCCAAAAAGGAAGTGAGCTGTGACGCTCAAAGCGAATCGTTTTGGCTTATAAGAAGCAACTGTCAACAATTGGGAATTCCTAATTTCATATTGTCCATTTGAAGTCTTGACCCTGCACCAGTGTTGCTGTCACTTCACTTTTAGTCAACAAATTTGCGGCAGTCACAGTCAGCTTATATTAAAAGTTGAAGGCACTCCATCAGGTGGCTTTAAGGCCATGCAAAATGGCCATTATTATGTTCAAGGGATAAAAACTGTGACGTGTTCTTATCTAACCTATTGGGCACTTAATCACCATGCATGCTGTCATTAATTGTAGGCGTCTTTACTTTTTCCACCGTCATATAAAGATCATTCTGTCTGTTCCTAAGACTATTAGACTCTGTAGCCTGAACGAAGTCTGGTACAATTCATTGACCAAGGTATCATTGAAAAAACTAGGAGTTTGGTCGAGGTTGAAAATGAGCCACCGGAGCAATCTCATTTCTTAAAGCATGGAAAATCCAACGATTCTTTTTCGCCTTTAGAGTAATACTGTTACATACATAACTAACCTAATTTAGGCCTAGGTTATTTTTCATTAACCGTCCCTCAAATAACTGACGAATTAATATCAGTTTTTAGAATACAGTACATAGTGCGAGGCGTAGCGTGCGTTCACAGTTGTTAGTTTGTGGTTTGTGTAGTCGGTACAAAGGATGCACACCTCTATAATCACGGATTTTTGACGGGGAACTCTGAATACCCTAGGATTTAAAAGGGTCCATGTCTATATTCAGGCCAACTGGGTAAAGGGGAGGAGTGCTACTTTTCTGTCGTGTCCATGTGTGAATGACAGACTGAAATCTTCCCACACGGCGTCACATCACTTGGTAATTAGATAAATGTGTATAGACAGTTGAATGAAGTCCAGGATAGTTTTTCTCATGAGCTTCTCCCGTGGATGCGGACTTTTCATCAAACTATTCAGGATTTCCGTTCCTCTGATAGACTCTCATTAACTTGCAGTTCTTACCACATGCCTATTATGTGTCACGCGAAAGGCTCAGTGCTGAGCACGTGCTAAACACATTGCCAAACAACCTTTGCTTTAACCTTTAACCTTAATTTGATATTTTGTATCTTCACATTTTCCTATTCTTACGTAATATCAATTCCGTGCCAAGATAAATTGTCAAGTAATTTGGTTAGATGAATTGGGCCTGAATGGATCACCTACTTATACATTTATAATCTACCGAATTTAAGCTCAATATTACTGAGTTTTTAAGTTAGGGTCGAATGGTCCACCGAGGACTTCATAGCGTTATTAGGCATCATTAGTAAATATTTGATCGGCGAATATGTCAGCTGAGGCTTGTTCAGACTGATCCCCATCTAGAATACAACCTGCTGTGAGTCGTACAAAGCAGTCGGTAACCGGTAACAGCGCCACCACTTCAATTTAGATTTTGATAAGTGAAAAAAAACCCTGCACTCTTTGAAATCTCCGAATCACTCAAACACTAAATGAAATCACCGTACAAGTATTTCGTTGCGAGCAATGTACGTGTTAAACTTGGTTTTGTAATTTTAGACTAATTGTATTAGAGCAGATCGCTGCTTGATAATTTAATCAAAACTACACATTGGTATAAAAACAGCAAAGGTTTATAAAATTGTTTAAACTGAAGATGGTTACTTCATAAATAGATGTCAATATCTAAATATTCCTCACAATCCCCATTATGGAGGTCTTGAATTGCTGCAAAAAGGTGGTGCTGGGAAGCAATTTTTTCCACTAACATGTGACCTGCTCTTTGAAAATGAGTCATAAGTCGCCAGAGCCACGTTTTTAGTTTTTATTCGTATTGAAAAGAACGAATCGAGCTTTTTTGTTTTGATGTATCACTCAGTTTGGTATCCCGATGAAAGTGGATACTTCATAGTGAAAAATGTTGTTGGTTCCTATTGATGTACACTGTCCAAAAATATTCTAAAGGATATTTTACTCCATAATGGTTCCGCCAACTTGTGACTCATTTTCACAGAGTGGGTCACATATTACCAAGAAAGAGGTGAAACTCTGGCGTTGCTCCCATGTGATACATAAATAAGCCACTTAAGAGTGCATATAAATAACATTCTGAGACACGGTACGTATACCTACACATATTGATAACTATAATTTGCTGAAACTGTGAAAAAACAAACTACCAAAGGTTGAAATTGTTGTTGTACGTTATCATTCCTGGATCGTCACCTTTGCCCTATACAGGAATTGATGTCAACTTTATTACAATATCACAAGGCGTATCATTGAATTCGATCATGGATGCACATTATGACAAGCATTGAAATATACCCGTTGAAAGTACCAGGAAATTCCAAAGTACTCGGATGTGTTAGAAATAAGTAACCTTTGGCAAAACCTAGGCGTATTTCTATTTTCATTGTTCTTTAATTTAAAGAATTAACGCTTCCCAAACCAGCTAGCACTTTTCGGGTAGGACAAGGAATATTTTACGTCGGAAAAAAGAATTTGTAATTTTTGGAGTAGAATTCTTTATAAGCTCCTCCAGAACCGAACCAGTATATCCCAATCAGATATTTTATCAATGGATCAAGTTGAGTCCCGAAATCTTCCGGATAGTCTTTTCTACGGTGATCTTAACCCCCCCCCCCCAAAAAAAGTACATTTGTTTGGTATGATGAAATTTGTCATGGTCACGGTAAATTGTCGTAATGTCAACTTTAGGTTTTATAGTCGTAGATCAAAGTTGTAATGTAAATATCTTTAGACGCCGCCAAATGTTTGGAATCCAAAAAATTCTGCATCGGTGACCGAATGACTTGACCATATTATTCAGATTCTTTTGATTCTTTCAGCTCAAAAACAGCCATGGCACCTTTGTTGTAGTAGTGTGGATTCCTAGTTCCAGTCAGTTGCCGTGTCACGCGCAGAGCCCCGTTTGACCTCTGTTTCTAGTCCGGGGTCACACATGCAAGTGTGGCGCGGTTTGTGCGAGGTTTCCCGAGACTACATTCGAGACTACAGAAAACAGAGTTTTTATTTTCAAAGAACGAAAAGAACGAATCGAGTTTTTTGTTTTGATGTATCACTCAATTTGGTATCCCGATGAAAGTGGATACTTCATAGTGAAAAATGCAGTTGGTTCCTATTGATTTACACTGTCCAAACATATTCTAAAGACTTTTTACTCCATAGTGGATTTGCCGACTTGTGACTCATTTTCACAGAGTGGATCACATATTTCATGTTATTTAATTTGGGTACGCTTTATTTGTTTACAAACCAAACCTTTTTTGTTTCGGATTATTATCATTAAATTCAAATTATCAGATTATTGTTATTAAATTTAGCTTTTCCAAATGGCAGTACATGTTCATCGATGGAGTGAAAATGGCAAATTTCCCAACGCAGGTTAGAGTCTTAGGATTTATTTTTGTCTATTTTTAAAGAATGCGTGGGTGCCAAAGACTACACTATATGTAACGTAAGGTTGGAGATATTCTGTTTTACAAATTTCCTTTTTGTGTAATAAATGTTTTAAAAAGCAGTTGAAATAAATTGTGTTTGTGGTGTTTTTTGTGCTCTCAGATTGAGAGACACTTTACTCTTACATTTTGGAGTATCCATTTAGTGAAGAATTTTTGTTAAAAATAAATATGAAAGTTTAATCTTTGAAGTTAGCATTGGACATCTGCCTACATGAATCATGAACAACGTAGTGGAGTCAAAGCAAATTTGACTGCTGCATTCTTGGAAGTTAAACAAAAAACACCAGAAAAATAAAAGCGTGCAGGCAACAATTTATTAATATTCAACAGACCAAACCTGGTTCAACCCGCATCAGGATGCGAATTTTTTGTTCGGGTCATAAGGTCTTGCTTTTTCTGGCTTGAATAATGGCGGAAAGGGGGAATCGTTGGAAACATTCAGTGTAGGCCTACACGGCTATTTTATAGTACCTTCATGTGATTTTTTCTGGGTGAAGATTTATTCTTTCCTATGATTACCTCGGAATGTGGGAGACTTTTGTTGTTGTTGAGAAATATCATAAATTGCGTCACGCATTATTAGTCGATTTGTCGGTAAAATAATATCGCCAAAATGCATCTCATCTGTATTTTTGCCTCAAACACCTTACTAAATATATGCATTAGATCTATAACTACCTGAAAAAAAAGATTGATTTGTAAGGATTTGGTAAGCTGAAGCATGAAAAACGCCAATTTTTCAAAGCCTACTTCCAGGCCGTTTTCGCTGCCTTCGCGTTACAGTCAGTTTGTGTGGACGGGAAATCATGATCAGGGGGCTACTGTGCACATGACACTGGCAACTTACTGATTCCGGATACATGTAAATGTGGCATTTCTGTCAAAGATTTCTCCCATTACCACTGTATGTGCAACTGGAAAGCAGAGGTCAAAGGCCCAGTGTCACAATGATTACCTTGCTTTGCTGCTATAGTGTTAGAGCTTAAAAGCAGTTGATAGGAGGAGAGGACTTTGAAACATCGAACAGAGAAGTTTTTAGAGGATCTTGCTCCACTCTACGGGAATAGGCCTAGTTGTTACATGGTAGCTATTTCTGTCTCCAACATGGCTGTTCTTCAACAAGTAAAGGATTTCCTAGACGTTCGCATGGTTCTGTTAGGGTTGTTTTTCCTTCTGGTGTTGCGTTGGTTGATCAGCCGGCCAAAGAACCTGCCTCCCGGCCCCTGGGGCTTCCCAGTCCTCGGTTCTATCCCTGCCATTGCCTGGGCGATGTGTCGGGGCTTGGAGCCACACCATCTTTTTGAGGAGTATGCTGCCAAGTACGGGCCTGTGTTTTGTCTGAATATCTTCAACAAGAGAGTGGTGGTCCTGAATGAATACGCATTGGTGAAGGAAGCATTCCAACATCCACAGCTCAGTGACAGACCAAAAAATGTCATCACTGAGGTAACCAAGACAGAAGGTGAGACTCTTCAGAAGACAGCCACTTTACAAACAATTGGTAAAGTTAGTTCATAATCATGACATTCCAGTAGCGATACGTTTGATGCCTGTATGGCACTACACACAACATGAGAAGTTCCATAAGAAAGCCCCGTGGCGCCATGTTTTCAAAACGTGATTATATATGTGTCTTTTCGAAGTCCATTTTTATGAGACAGGCCTACGTTTTAAACAACTCCTTTTGTACGAGATTTTTCCCCCAAAGTTTGCTCCTTCGAGAGTGACATTATCAGTTCATCCTCAAAACGTCTAGATTTCGAAAAAATTTTCTATTTGTACAAACGAATCATTTTCATGAGATGTTTATTCGTGTTAACAAAAAAATGTGTTTCTTGAAAATCGAAAGGATCAATTTGTAAAAAAAATAACAAAATTAGAAATTAGATATTTCTTAGAATACAAATTTATAGGAATATATTGACAATACATATTTCGAATTAACAAACTTCAGGAATATCTCCTAGCTGAAAAGAAATATAATTTATAAGAACAAACTTCAGTTCATTTCAAATTCTTATTTTTATTGAAACAAAGATGGATAGATGAAATTATTTAACAATGTCTTCCACTTTTGCATTGTCACGATTCCTGTACAATGCTGTATTCTTTCCTTTCTGTATATTCTGTTTAAAGGGGTCGTCTTCTCCTCGGGCGAAGTTTGGATGGAGCTGCGTCGATTCTGCCTGACTGTACTCCGGAGCTTCGGGGTCGGAAAAACGAGCTTCGAGGAGCAGATCGGTATTGAGGCCGAGGAACTCATGAAAGAAATGGCCGCCTTCAAGGGCGAGCCCTTTAACCCCAAACCACTCCTTGGCAACGCGGTGGCTAACGTCATCTGCTCCGTCATCTTTGGTAAGCGCTATGCATACACTGACCGGGAGTTTGCCCATCTTCTTGATTTGCTTAGCCGTAACCTTAAGCTGGCCGGAGGTGGAGGCATAACCCTTATCTTTCCTAGTATGCGTCATCTTCCCTTTTTTCCTACTTCTGAGCTGTTTTTAAACTTGAAAGTCAGTCGGTCATTTATTAAGAATATCATTGACTCCCATCGCAAAACTTTCGATGCCGATAACCTGAAAGATTTCACTGACGCATTCCTGATGGAGATAAGACACAATCAAGCAAGAAATACAGGAAGAGGACACCCAGAAGATGGAAAACCCAAAACTTCCAAATACAGTCATCTGAGCGAACGTAACATAGTTGGAACAATTTCCAATCTCTTTGCGGCTGGCTCTGAGACTACGGCGACCACCCTTCAGTGGTGTATTTTGTACATGATGTTGCACCCTGACGTCCAGACTCGGGTCCAGGCTGAGATCGACGACGTAGTCGGTCGCTACAGGCTGCCCAGAATGGCCGACGTTCCGGAGCTGAACTTCACCCGAGCGGTTATCTGGGAGGTCCAGCGCCTGGCTAACATCGTTCCCTTGGGTGTCCCGCACTGTGCTGCTTCAGATATCATTTTGCGAGGTTTCTTAATCCCAAAGGGTTCCGTCCTTATGTCCAACTTTTGGAAGATGTCTCGAGACCCTAAGGTTTGGCCTGATCCTGAGCAGTTCATACCCGAGCGATTTCTGAACGTAAAAGGAGAAGCCACGAGGGCCGAAGAGTTAATTCCGTTCAGCATTGGTAAGAAAACTTTGGTTATTACCTGATTTGAAGTCACACACACGAAAGAAGACTTTTGAATTAAAAAAAAAAACTACCTCGGTATGAAGCACCATGTACCTGATTTTTAATAATGTTTCCAAGGAAAAGACAAGACCAAAGGCGATACTTTCCTTTTTTTGGTTTACCATAAAATCTTTGCTTTTTCAAGGATGAATTTAAATTAATTTTGGCTTGCTGGTGTCGGCTGCCTGGTTCGAAGCGGATGTAGCAGCGGGTATCACGAGTAACTAATCCAAGGATGGCAAGATTTGCGCCGGAAAGATGCAAATTAATTTTTGGATTTTTGCCCTGCCCGACATGTATTTTAACACTGTATGCTCAGTGAATGCCCCCAAAGGCTTGTGAAAAAAACAAGCGTACTCAGGCGGGGCTCGAACCCATGACCTCCTGCGAGTACGCTTGTGGTTTCTTCACAAGCTGTTACATCTGGTTGGAATCAACCAGCCGACACCAGCAAGCTTGGTAATCGAGTGGTTAAAACGTCTGCACTAGTAAGCAGGAGGTCGTGGGTTCGAGTCCCACCCGAGTACGCTTGTGGTTTTTTCACAAGCCTTCGTGGGCATACACTGAGCATACAGTGTTAAAATACACGTCGGGCAGGACAAAAATCCAACTTTAAATCTTTACTTACTGGTGCAAAAATAATGCCCACTATATCCAGATTGCTGAAACCCGTAGGTACGGCACATGCCTACAAAAAACTACAAGTTTTATAACCTAGGAGTTGTTGTTTTATACACCTGTTTTGGGTATGATTTTCGAATTTGTATTGTCGTTACGTCTTATGGTCTTACTAATAAGGGAACAAATAGAATTGGTCGTTCAAGACCGACTCAGGAGAATGGACGTGACTCATGCTCGAGCCACAGGCGAGGGCATGAATTTGTTCCAAAATTTTACTTTCATTTCCCGAACACCCCCCGTCCATTTTATGGTATATTCCTAGTGCATATTGTAATCAATGACGTCCAAAACAATCTCCTTGTATGGACGTGACGCGTTTTTAGAGACTCCTGACCAATCAGAATCGAGTAATCTCTCTCGTATCCATGTGCCAGCGCGTGATTTACGCAGCAGGCATTATCACTTCTCCGCAGGCATTATCAAATGCACGTTGTTAAACAGGGAGGCTGCCCGAGGTATTCGTCAATATAATTTTGGAGAGTTACTGTCAGTTGCATCCCTCTACCACCCCGAAAATTATGTCCTGCAGGAAGTCAACGTTTTACCCTGCTTCTCTCTGTTAAAATTTCGACTTGTTAGGCAGGCGTAGCTGCATCGGCGAGCACCTGGCCAAGATGGAGCTCTTTCTCTTCTTCAGCTTCTTCGTGCATCAGTTCACCTTCAAGAAACCCGACGACTCTCCTCCGCTGTCGCTGTCCCTCAAGGGCAGGGGTGGCGTAACGCGGTCCCCGCTGCCGTTCGACACCTGCGCCGTCTTACGTGCCTGATGTGTATCTTCGACCTCATCCCCAGAGGTTATTTTGTTTCCAGCATCTCTTCTAGAAGTAACCCTTAATTATTAAGCATATTCTCTTCCCACTGCATGTTCAGAAACGATACGCGAAGCAAGGGGTAGTGAGTAATAAGTGAATTTGGTATAACCCTTTCGTGATCAACTTTTTTCACGTTTCTCTCTAAAATTCCCCCTTTTTCATTTGAGTATATTAGTGAAACGTGTATAGTGTATATTGGCTAATTCGCTTTTTATCAAACCGCAAAATATTGACTGAGGTCGTAAAGAGCCTTTCAGTAAAGACGACGTGCTAAAGTAAAGCCTAAGATGTAAATTATTCGTCATTTACATACTTATTTTTGCATTATGCTAATGATCCACGACAGTCCACGGTGAGAGAATAACGATAGCCAAGTTGCTTCTCTTTCCACTAAGGTATTTGATTGGGTCATGTTCGTATTTTGTTCTTTATTTCGCCAACCGTTTGTCTGATTCGAGGAAATGACTGTCATTTCAGTGTTCCATCTTTCGACTTGTTCCTTTGGTAAAATTAGCGGTTGCAGGAAACCGTTTTAAGCCGAACACCGTGTTGAGCTATTAATTATCGTATGTTTGTTAAACTTCTTTTACGAAGTTCTTAAAAATAGCACAAAAGATTATTAAGTTTCAAGAAAAGCCGTCGAAAAACTTGGTTTAAAAAGTTGAAAGTTTAATGTGTGCAGGGAAACGAGTGGAAAAAAGTTTACCAAGACGAAATCCTTCGAAACTTATGGAATCCTACCCTGACACTGATGTGGTTGGCAATAGCCCACATTTCCCTGATCGTATTTTCTGGGTGACTTTTCAAACATACACGCATAACCAGCTCAAATATACAATTATGCAAATGTCAATATTTTGAACTAAAATTCCAATTCGTACTTCCTGGGGCTCGGAATTTGGTGTGAGACCAGTGGCGCGGCTATAAGGGGGGGGGAGGAGACAGGGAGAATGGAATGAACAGCCCCCCCCCCCAGCGGAGGCCCATATGTCCCTTAGCTGGCAACCCTCTCCCCTTTGAAATCTTTGAAATGTACACAGTCTACTGTAAAGGTCACATGCCATCGAATTTCGCTGCCACCCAAAAATGTGTATGCACTAGACCTTTGTCCTCCCCGAAATATCTCTTTTTATAGTTACGCCACCCGTGATTCGGAGCCTACACGATCTAACCCAACCCCCGAAGAATACTTGCTCTGAACACCCCAGTTGCGCGGCACCACCAAAGTATTGCGGCTTGAGCATCATGATAAATGTTGGGGGTAAAACCTACCCCGCCGACAAATCCTATAGTGCACCGCTGATTACCGCATGTACCAATTTAGCAATATTTTCACACAATCGTCGCCTGTGGATTTAGTCGCGTGCAAAGTAGCCGATAAGAGGCCCATTGGAAGCACAGGTTCACGCCGACACCTTTGACACGCAGGGTCTGTTCGTTTCAAGAGGCTCCAGATCGCGATCGGCGATGGATGGCGCGAACCAGCTCTGGGGTCACTGATCCCGATTCAGATGTGTATGAAACAGGCCCGTTTGTTCCTGCTCCATTCAAGAGTTAAAGGTGACAAGAGACAGAATTCAAAATTTTGCCAGTGTCGACATACATTGTGGCACTCTTTTTTATTGATATAATCCTTTTAATAGTGTTCAGTTTCTGAATACAATGTGAGCTTTATCCTATTCATGATGATTTCTATACAGTAATATATAATTTCCATGACCTTGGCTGTTTCCTTAATATCAAAAGATTATACATTTCCAAGAAAAATGGTCATTTTGAATGATCAGAATAAATAGTAATATACTTCCAACGTTTCAAAGTGTTCGGAATTATTATGTGACGGATCTTAGGTTATTCCTGAGGTCAAATGTCAGTATTTTCAGAAATGACTCCTAAATTACATTGTGTCAGTCTCTTTGTTACGCTTGTTACTCAAAAGTGGTAAATTCCTATTCATTTTTTCGGTGGGAGCATGTCGATTCCAACAACTAAATAAAACCAATATATCGTCGGTGCTGTCACAATGCTATTTTTGGGTTTGACGCGCAGCCTATTTCAACAGCTTCTGTGGTAGGTAGAGAGGTCAACTGACAGAGAACAAGTCTTGCTTTGCCCATACTGAACTAGGAAACAGTTGACTGCACAAGGACATTAAAAAAAAACCCGAAAAAGGTTTATCGTGTGTAGACTACACGGGATCAGTGTCTCCAACATGGCCGTTCTCCCGCACGTCATAGGGTGCCTGGACGTTCGCACGATTCTGGTGGGTTTGTTCTGCCTTCTGGTGTTTCGCTGGTTGTTCGGCCGTCAGAAGAACCTGCCTCCTGGTCCCTGGGGCTTCCCGGTCCTCGGTTCTATCCCAGCTATTGCCTGGGCGGCGTGTCGGGGCTTGGAGCCACACCATCTTTTTGAGAAATATGCCGCGAATTACGGACCCGTATATCGTTTGAATATCTTCAACAAGACAGTGGTGGTCCTGAATGACTACGCATTGGTGAAGGAGGCATTCCAACATCCGCAGCTCAGTGACAGACCAAAAAATGTCTTCACCGAGGTGTTAAAAGTGGAAGGTGAGATCCATATATTAATATAGGCAACAACCACTAAGAAATTGTTCCACAACATATCTGAAGCCACTACATAGAGTAATTGAAGTTTCAGTGAAGACAGTTCGTGGATTCAAACTGTTATATCTTCCTTGTAAGTCTTTAACGAAACCAGACCATTTTTATCTCAAAGCGCACACGCAATACCGGGAATACCAGAGATATTTTTCCGTGTGTGGTTCATGTTTTTCATGTAATGCTGCAATTCTTTTTCGAAGGGGTCGCTTCATCTTCTGGCGAAGTTTGGATGGAGCTGCGTCGGTTCTGCCTGACTGTGCTCCGGAGCTTTGGGGTCGGGAAAACAAGATTCGAGGAGCAGATCGGAATTGAGGCCAAGGAACTAATGAAAGAAATGGCCGCCTACCAGGGCAAGCCCTTCAACCCTAAGCCGTTACTTGGCAAGGCGGTATCAAACGTCATCTGCACTGTCATATTTGGCAAGCGCTACGAGTACAGCGACGAGGAGTTTGCCAGTCTTTTGGAATTAATTAATCAAAGTGTCAAGCTGATAGGAGCCGGGGGCATAACCGCTTTCTTTCCTGCAATGCGCAGGCTTCCTTTTCTTCCCACTGCAGGTTTAATCTCAAATTTGGAAACCTTGTTCACATTTCTCAAGACTGTCATCGACGCCCACCGTAAAACCTTTGACGAAAACGACTTGAAGGATTTCACTGACGCGTACCTCATGGAAATCCAATACAATCGAGCAAAACACCAAAATGGGACACAGCCAGACGGAGGAGAATTCAAATCTTCCAAATACAGTCATCTGGGTGAACGAAATATCGCCGGGACCATCTTTAGTCTCTTTGCGGCTGGCTCAGAGACTACGGCCACAACCATGCAATGGAGTCTTCTGTACATGATGTTGCGCCCTGACGTCCAGAGTCGGGTCCAGGCCGAGATCGACGACGTGGTCGGTCGCAACCGCCTTCCCATGATGGCCGACGTTCCTAAGCTGAACTTCACCTGAGCGGTTATCTGGGAGGTCCAGCGCCTGGCCAACATCGTTCCTCTGGGCGTGGTGCATTGTGCCGCTTCAGACACCAATATTCGAGATTTCTTGATCCCGAAGGGTGCATTCGTCATGTCGAATTTGTGGACTATATTTCGAGATCCGAAGGTTTGGCCTGAGCCCGAACTATTCAAACCTGAGCGATTTCTGAACGAAAAAGGCGAGGCGGCGAGATCGGAAAAGTTGATACCGTTCAGCATCGGTGAGCAAACTGGTTCGATATCTAAGGAAAAACCTATACTTTTAAACATCGTTTAAATTTTTTAAATTTGAAGCCTAAAAAAGCCGGAAAAAACGACAGGTTTCGTTTGCATTTAAATTTGCAGTTGTACACCTGTTCGGGGGTAGGCCTATGCTTTTGAAATAATATTTTGCTATTTGTTCTAAGAATTCCCTCCTTTAAATTCCTTCCAGTAAAAAATGTGTTGTTTTCATTTTCTGTCTGTTGTAATTTTGACTTTCAGGTAGGCGTAGCTGCATCGGCGAGCACCTGGCCAAGATGGAGCTCTTTCTCTTCTTCAGCTTCTTCATGCATCAGTTCACCTTCAAGAAACCCGACAACTCTCCTCCGCTGACGCTGTTGCTCAAGGGCAAGGGTGGCATAACGCATGCTCCGCTGCCGTTTGAGACGTGCGCCATCCCACGTGTCTGAGATATTTTTCGAGATTTTTTTTAAGGGCAGCCATTAATAGGCACCTTTCGGTTGGTGATGAACAAGCTTAGCTTTACACTACCTTACATCATGGAACGTGTTTGGGCAACGATCTCAATTAAGGAATTTAGGAAAATTCTTCATCAAAATCAGACCTTATTTTATAGTTTCCTCTGTTTATTTAAGAAATCTTGGTGCTTTGGTCTTGATATTGAATATCATTAATTGGGTATATCATGAATTTGTAAACTATGCTAAGTATAAATACTCATTGATTACCAATGCTGTTGGCCTAACAACGTCCCAAAGGTGAAATGTGAAGATATTCTCCCGGAAGTAATAGATGGTTTTCAAATTTTTTTTGTCAAGCGGAATCAAAATGGTGTGCTGAAAGAAAACATCCAGAAAGCACAAACATTTTGCCCTTCGACGTTTTGTGGGTTTTCATTGCTCATTTGTCGTTGGGCTTTTTATCGTTGATACATAAATATAGCCAGGAGGCTCGGTAAAGTGAAACGTTGTACAGTGAAACTTCAATTTGGTGAGAAATTTGCGGTATCCCTTGGACTTTTATTCAAGGCCACTGTGGAGTTCAAAACGTACATCGGCACAGGTCACCACAGACTTATAAAAGTACAACTTACGTAAACTTCTCTGCAGCTGTCGATCGACGATCTTGTTTGCCATTAATTTTTAAAGGGTGAAGGTGTATAAAGGGAAGATTTAGTTTGCAATGAATACATATTACTTTGAATTACGCCTGGAAATAAATCATTTAGCCCTTTTAATTTTGAGATGTATAAAGACTGCAGTACGTGGCAATATATGCTGCAACATGTAATAAGAATAGTAACAAAGAATATTCTTTCCCCGTTGCGCGTTTGCATGCTGTTCAGATTAAAACTCCACTACTGTCCATCGCCAGAGAATAACAGCCAAGGTATTCACCTCTCTACGATGGGAATTTGATGGCGTCTTTTCATGTTTCTTTGTAATTCAACCACCCATTTGTCCTTTTCGTGATCATTGTGATCAAAGGAAATGCATGACATTATAGTGTCTCATGTTTTCCTGTTGTTGAAGTAACGGTTGCAGAAATTTGGGGGAAACATTAAGTTTTCAGCTTTCCACAGGATAATTCACCTGAGCTCCAACACCGGTATTTTCAAGGATTGCCGTCGTCGAAATACTGGTTATTTTGACATTCATTTGTGTACACAGAAATGGAATAGGGTTAAGAAATTTGTTTGAATACGAAATCCTATGAAGTATATTAAATCCAAGGTATTCTGACACATATCCAACGACTTTTTGTGAGTTCATTTCCCAAGTGTACATTTACGGATGATTTTAAAAAGTACGCGCTTATACCGATTACTAAAGTACATACTTTATGCAAATTGCAACTGAACTAGAGTTTTAGTTTTACTTTCTTATGTTCTGAATTTGATGTGAGACCAGTAGCGTAACTACGGGGGGGGGTCGTCGTTCCCCCGGCGGAGGTCCGTTCCCCTATAAGTGCCCTTCATCCATTTGAATCTTGAAATGTAAATAACCTATGTACAGAGGCCCATTGAAAGCACGGGTAAAGGCCCAAGCACTCACAGGCCTAGCTCAAAAATGAAAATACCGTATTTCTGCACCCCTCAAGAGTCACAATGTACAATCATTCGGGACCATCACTGTCTCGTTGAAGGTATTCAGACTAAACACGGGCCCATATTTGGCGACATACGTCTCCAGAAGATGGTGCGGCTAAGCCCCGACACATCGCCCCAGCAGGTAATGGTCGGGATACAACCGAGGACTGGGAAGCCCAAGGGGCCCCGGAGGCAGGCTCCTGGGCTGGCCGGGAAACCAACGCAACACCAGAGGACAAAACAACCCCACCAGAATCGTGAGTAGATGCTGAAGAGCGGTCATGCTGGAGAAATCGACTTCTGTGGATCTGGTACATGGAACCAGATCTAGTAAAAATATTCCTGTTCGATGTTTTCAATGTCCTTCTTCAATCAACTGTGAAGCATTGAGAAAGCAAAGCAAGGTGACAAAATTGATATTCTCTGCCTCATGTGCCAACAGTTGGGTAAACAAAAGCTGTAGAAATATCCACGAATAGGTTTCACAGAAATCAAGTGCGTGCAATTCTATGTCGGTATGTGACGCATATATCAAGTAAGTGTTGGGAAAAGTGTACCATAAATGTGAAAAGACAGATGGAGACAAAAATGTGATACACCATTAATTTAAGAGAAACTTGCATTACCAAAATCTTTTCCTTTGGTTTGTAAACAGGTCCATCAAATCTTTGTCTCTGTTCTTCCCCATCCCAGTTCGGTGTTTATGGACAGATCCAACACTGGCTGGAATGAAGGGGAAGGACCAAAAATGCGTCTCGTTTGTGTACGCTGTAAGCATTCGTTGTTGATGAGTTTTTAACCACCAACTCTGCAAGTGCATTATATTTACGGCCGCTTAATACCTTCGTGGCTGCCAAGGGAGAAAAGGTCGATGTACTGTGATTAGTTTACATGTGAATGACTAGTATTTCAAGAGCTGCGCGCTTGACAGCAGCCACAAAGGGGGAAGCGGTCATAGATCACGTTTGTTGAGTCCAAAATGGATACCGTTGTCTAGTTTGAATGTAAGAACTTCTGCCTGGGAAATTGCTTTGTGCTTCGTAATACGTTTGGCGGTGGGAAAACATTTGAGCGCACAGAGCATGTTGAAATCCAGCCCCGTTCATTTCTACACTGTATAACGACGAATTTCTCCAACATGGCTGTTCTTCAGCACGTCGTGGGGTTCCTGGACACTTGCACGATTTTGGTGGGGTTATTTTGCCTCCTGGTGTTGCGTTGGTTGCTGGGCCGGTCAAAGAACCTGCCTCCCGGTCCATGGGGCTTCCCAGTCCTCGGATCTATCCCAGCCATAGCCTGGGCGATGTGGAAGGGCTTGGAGCCACACCATCTTTTTGAGAAATATGCCATGAATTACGGGCCCGTGTTTCGTGTGAATATCTTCAACAAGACAGTGGTGGTCCTGAATGACTATGCATCGGTGAAGGAGGCATTCCAACATCCCCAGCTCAGCGACAGACCCAAAAGTCTCTTCACTGAAGTGTTAAAGATGGAAGGTGAGCGTAGGTGAACGGCAAAATCGTCTTCCCAACACACTTGTGAAGTTATTATCTCTAAAACAATCTCATTCTTTTCAGGAACGCGTTCAGTTTCGTTGGCAGACCTCATCGAAACCGATCAGATCCGATCACTTCTTTTTTCGGTGTGGGTTCTTTGCTCCTCTTCTTAGGTTATGGTTTTTTTTTCCTGAATAGGCGGCGATGCTCCACAATTTGTTCGTCAATCAGGAACAGCGTACCAAACCGACTCTTTGCAAGAGCATCCTTCCTAATCCCAATATTTGCTTGTGTGACCTCATGATGACCTCATCAGGGATTATCAAATTTACCGTCATCCTTAGGCCACACAAGCATAAACAAGAATAACAGCCAATTTCATAAATGCACAACTCTCTTAAAAAATTCGAATGCATCCGGTAGATCAGATCTTAACGGTTTTTTGCGCAATGTGTGTGAACTTGCACTAATGTTATTTCCAGAGTTACCGGCAGCTCAAAGTCAGGTAAATACTGCTGATTGCCACGCAAGCCAATGTCATCAAAATGCTAAGTCGGTTAACTGAATACTTAATATAGAAATCAAGATTCTGAGAATTGTTTCTTTCTCTGACGTTGACAGATATAGAATTATTTGTACTTGAAAGTTAATGGTCAATGAAACACTTGTATCCATGCACATATAATATTATATATAACGGTTTGCCCATATAATATTATTCTTTCGAACTAGATTAATTAAGTAGATATCTAATTCATGATTTAATGTTCGGTGGAACATTGAACACGTTTTACTATGACTCAAGCTTGCTGAATTTTTTTGTCTGAAATGACCTGACCCACAATGACGAGCAGATTCAAGTGGAATTTGAAGCAATCCTATATCAGTGTAATTACTCAAATGTTTTGAAGTGGTGTACTTAACATAAATGTTGGAAGAGACTTCCTTACAGACATAGGCCTAAATAACTTCCTGCAATCTAGACAGTCGGCGAGCTATTTCCAGTCATCTAATAGATAAAGGGTATTCAGTGGTGAAATGGAGCATTTCTCCTCATCTAGAATCACCAGAATATATAGGTACAACTGAATAATTCATGGCATCTAATCATCTGGTGTTTTAAATTAAACATGAACCTTTTTAAACAGAATTTACTATATTTTGTCTGAATCATCAACATCATCAAACTTCTTTCATAGGACGTAGGTGTACAAAAAACAAAGCGCTTACAAATGTTGAAATTGACATAACTGTTGAGCGTGCCGTGTATTTTTGCTACTGCCAATATACAAACAAGATGAGATGCCTGTGCTTTGATTTTCAGCTCTCCTGTATTTATCTGTGAATTCTTGTTGCAAGGTGTCGCCGCATCCTCGGGCGAAGTTTGGATGGAACTGCGTCGATTTTGCCTGACTGTGCTGCGGAGCTTTGGGGTGGGGAAGACAACCTTTGAGGAGCAGATCGGCACCGAGGCCAAGGAACTAATGAAAGAAATGGCGGCCTACCAGGGCAAACCCTTCAACCCTAAGCCGTTACTTGGTAACGCGGTGTCTAACGTCATCTGTTCCATTATCTTTGGCACGCGATATGAGTACACCGACCAGGAGTTTACCCATCTTCTGGATTTACTCAACCGAAATGTTAAGCTGATGGGAGCCGGAGGTGTGGCCGCGTGCATCCCTGCTGCGCGCCATCTTCCTTTTCTTCCTATTGCTGAAGCTGTCTCAAATTTTGAAGCCATTCTCACGTTTATAAAGGGTGTTATCGACGACCACCGCAAAACTTTCAACGCCGAAAACTTGAAGGATTTCACCGACGCTTACCTAATGGAAATCCAACACAATCAGGGAAGATATGGAGACGGAAACTATCCAGCTCGGGAGAAACCCTACGCCTCTAAATACATATACAGTCGTCTGGGTGAACGTAACATAGTCGGCACAATTTTCGGTCTCTTTGCAGCTGGTTCTGAGACTACAGCCACAACTCTTGAGTGGTGTATTCTGCACATGATGCTGCACCCTGACGTCCAGAGTCGGGTCCAGGCCGAGATCGACGACGTGGTCGGTCGCAACCGGCTTCCCATGATGGCCGACGTTCCTAAGCTGAACTTCACCCGAGCGGTTATCTGGGAGGTCCAGCGCCTGGCCAACATCGTTCCTCTGGGCGTCCCGCATTCTGCAGCTTCGGACACCAATATCCAAGGTTTCTTGATCCCCAAGGGTGCATTCGTTATATCGAACCTGTGGATGCTGTTTCGAGACCCAAAAGTTTGGCGTGAACCTGAACAGTTCAAACCCGAGCGATTTCTGAACGAGAGGGGAGAGGCTGTTAAGGTCGAACAACTGATCCCGTTCAGCACCGGTAAGCAAGTCTTAAGTTAACGGTGCCATCTATTCCTGAACCTACACTAAAGGCAATGCTTATATAAAATAATGTGCCCAGCGCTCTTTCGAACTACACGAGGTATGCTGACTTATTTATAACGAAAAAAAATGAAAGCAAAATGTTTTCTTGATCCCCACGTGAGATTTTATTGGCAGGATAAAATGCACGAATGTAATGCGTGGACATGCACGCAAGATAACTAACCCCACCGAGACTTTAGAGATGACAAAGGACTTGGGTCCACACCTCTGTCCCTCTGATCTGCCTTAGATTATTTAATTGGCAATTTTTGATTCTTGCTTTTTAAGGCAGGCGTAGCTGCATCGGCGAGCACCTGGCCAAGATGGAGCTCTTTCTCTTCTTCAGCTTCTTCGTGCACCAGTTCACCTTCAAGAAACCCGATGACTCTCCTCCGCTGACGCTGAAGGGGAAGAGAGGCTTAATGCGAGCCCCGTTTCCGTTCGACACGTGCGCCATCCCACGATCTTCAGAGGACTGCCATGCTTGAACATGTGATAGGAGCTGCGTTATGGGCACCTTCCATTTTGCTTTATCGAGGGTAATACAGGATAAAAGCTAGCCTGACTACACCCCCCTTCTGTTTGTCACAAGGCAGGTTTTCCTGCTGGCGTTATAAAGCAATGTGGTCAAAAACCGTAGCGAATTGTTCCTTTTTAGCGTCACGAAAAGTGATTGATCAGGTGACAAGCGAAATTAAAACAAAACAAAAACAAGAAGAACAAAAGAACACATGAGTCTCGAGCTGGACCAAGAGAGGGGGCAATTTTCACAGTAACGGTTGCTCCTTTGGTAGCAACTGAACTTCGCTGGTTCACCAACGACTATGAAATGCAAGCTTAACGGTCACGTTGCTACCAGCAAAATGAAAACTCCCGACCAACATGGCTCTTTTTAACCGATGAGGTGTGCTTTTACTCAAAGTGGATACAATATAAGCTGGCCAGGTTGAGACTACTGAGGCGTTATTTCTGAGAAAGAGGGCAAAAGTGTCCTCATCAGATCGATTGCACCTGCTAAGTCTGCACATGACCTGTCTGCACGTGACCTGTACTGTTTATAAACATAGTGTTCAGGCTCCAACAGCAAAGTGTGTTACATATGCTATTTACTTAAAGTCCGATTGGTCGGTACAATGATGGGTCAACTGACGTGCTGGGTACTGTACTGGCAATAGGTTTTATTTTTTGGTAAAAAGTACTTTGCTATGGGAGAATGCCATTTTTTGTTCATATTTTACCTACTACATGTCACGTGATTAAGTGGGTGCAATCGGTCAATTATTGTACGTCTGCGTGCAGAGATGATTTTGTAATCGTTTGGGTTTCTGCATATACCAAGGAACACAAATACAACTCTGTTTGGTCTTCTAAAAAATGTCCACATACTTTTGTAATATTTTACCTGTCTTTTTTACAGCAGAAGTACACGGGAGATTTTTAGAATGAAACGTGGCATTATTTTTATACCTGGAATAGAATAGAAATGGTGCGTCTGAACTTCACTCATAAATATAAAAAATAGATAAATAAAAAATGCAAAAATTGCGTTATCGCTGGGGAAGTTTGTGCTAAAGAGTAAAAACTGGATGAGGTCTCTCAGAAAAATAATAGAACTATTCCTACTCCCATTTCATTCGTCGGAATGGAACTGTACTTTTTTTTACCGGAACTACTTACTATGAACTCGCAAACCTTCAGGAAAATCAGACTGTGGTCCCGTAAATTCCATTTCGAACGGCCAGGTTTATATTCCTCATGGCTCGAGACATGTAAAAAGATAATTTGAATTTTGAATGAGATCCGCATATACTTATATATAAACACTGTAAAACTCTCATCTAAAAGAACTGTGATCTGGAGAGCATTAATCCAGGAGCAAAATGTTGACTTTCTGGAAATTTTTAATGTTCTTGAAAGTGTGACTTATGACCAAAATGACACTGAAAAAATAGTTCTTGCAGGGATCTGCAATAGCTCCCCCACCCGTCCTAAAACAAAGTGTCAAGCCTTAGGACCTCCATCTTTAGCAAAGGAAGTTATTTTACAAGAAGTCATTTCACAATCGTTGGTTCTAAAAACTAGGTAATGTAGAACAGTCACTATTCTGAGGAGCATATTCGTCACTCACTCCACACGGCATTATAGGATCCAGGAAATGAATTTTTCTTAGAATCTCTTTTTGTGTATCTCTGTACTCTTCTTCCATGTATGAAGACTGTTTGACATCTTTTTTGAGTTACGTGAACTGAACGGTGCACTTTTTCAAACATTAAAAACTGACCAAGCATTTTGGACAAGTGAGGGCGTTTTTGCTTTGATTTAAATCCAGGAAGACGTGGTTCAGGTTGCATGTTTCCATGTTCAAATTTTGAACCCCAAATTTGCTATCTGGGAACATTTTGTGAAAAAGATTTTCGCTGGATTATTGCCATTTACTTAAAAACAGCAATAAATTGCCAAAGAAAATGAAATCTGCCATAGCAGTGGTTAAAAAATCTAGAAATTTTCTGTGCACAAATCAGTGCAACATTGAGATTCAGTGCCTTAGATGACATCATAGTTCTGCAATGAATATGCAAATAGCATTAGCATAAAACAAGAAAGCATCAAAATATGGGTTAATAGTGCATAACGAAAATTTAAAATCAGGTTAAATGAAACCCAAAGATGCAATTTCAAGGGTTTTAGTAAAATTTATAAAATATGTCTATTTCCTGGTTCCTTTAAACTTGCTACCATACTTCACGCTATTATACATGTACTTGCTTTGCATTGCAGCTCAATTGTGTTAGGTTTTTAGCAGCCTTTTGTGGACGTATCTGTTAATTTTCTGCTGTAGGGCAAAGGTAAAAGATAATGCTTAGTGGAGCCCGAAGGCAAACGCAGTTTGCGCGATGGCTGACGGTCGAAACATGTCATGGTGACTGAGCTGTATTACGTGCACAGTACAATTATATGCCCATGCCCTGCGAATTTGATTAAGGCTGATCGAACTTTATTATAGAGTGTGTTGACTTTACGGCTTTATTTGAATATTGAAAAAGGAAAGAGATCTGTGTTGAAATAAAATTGTTGGAATTGGTTCCATGCTTGTAGTGTAGAATCGATTCCTCAAACATGGCCGTTCTTCAGCACCTAATGGGGTTCGTGGACACTCGCACGATTCTGGTGGGCTTGTTTTGCCTTCCGGCTTCCCGGTCCTCGGTTCTATCCTGACGTTTGCTAGGGCGATGTATCGGGGCTTGGTGCCATACCATCTTTTTGAGAAGTTTGCCGCGAAATACGTACCCGTAAATCGTTTGAATAGGCCTATCTCCAGTTAGACAGTGGTGGTCCTGAATGACTATACGCATTGGTGAAGGAGGCATTCCAACATCCGAAGCTCAGTGACAGACCCAAAATCTTTTCACCGAGGTGTTAAAGGTTGAAGGTAAGCCTTGTGCCTGGGGACAGTCGGCTTCCAGGGCACTGCTGAAGTTGATGCCGTGCACGATATGTGGCCGATGGGTATACCCCCCACGTGTCCAATCACTATACATGTACACACTCTAGACTATTGTTACCTAACACATCCCCCTAGAAGTCTGGTAAGAATTCCTAAGATTCCGATCTAACAATGACCAACACACAGGTGGGGGGGGCTCTCTCCGCCCAATATCTTACCATCACAACACATCATAGGTCCAGCTGAGCACGATCGCGACATCACTGGAAAAAGGTCTGTTGCTAGAACAACACACGCATTGAAAATTGTCAGAAAGATCCTGAGATTGTAAATTCAGGTTTCCATGTTTATTCCTTTCATCTTGTGTATAATAAATATCATAATAAAAAACGTGTCACTTTCTTGAGAAATAGTTTGTATAAATAGTATGTAATTTATAACATTAGTGAAAGGAGTAAAGATATCTTTACATGATTTGGGATACGTCCTCAAATTTTGAATGATACGGAAACAATACATGAAGAAATTATGGAACCCAAACCGCGGCAAACAAATCTCAAAAGAATTTTCTTTAAAAAGGGATTCCACTTCAGTAGATACAGTGTGAGTGGTTCTTTACACTTTTGTTCTACACGAATACCTTCGAATAGAAAAGGCTATGATAAAAAGAGAAAATGACGGTTATTGTGTCGACTTTTGTCAGGTTTCTCTTCCAGGCAAATACACAAGCGTCATAGATCTGTCATAGGATGTCGCAAGTAAATGCGTTTGTTAAACGTTCTCTTGGGAAATGATTTACAGTCGCGCAAATTAACAGTTAATATAAGTTTAATTGTGTGGGACTTAAGGTGCCTGTCCATATGCGCGTCAACACTTGCGCCAAGCGATGCGTATCCGCCAAAATCGCTCCTGGGGCGATTTTGACGGCTGAACGCAATGCACACGTGTGTTATGTCAATGGGTCGATGTTTGTGTCCGTCAAATTTTAACGTGTGAACGCATCGTGTACACAACGCATCCAAAAATCGTACCGTGTGGAAAGGCGCCTTTAATGTGAGATTCTGTGAACAAACGTTGGCTCCCTATCAATGTTCATATCAAGCACTTCCAACTGTCAACCGCTAATTTAATTTTTGTGAGTAGTTCGTCGTTCCGCCACCCTACCCTGCAGTTGTTGCAAACATGAAGGGCCACTGATGCTACACTTGTAATTTCACAATGGCGCCCCCTGTTGCTTTGTATCATTGGTCGATGTTGATAGCAACGTGAGAGGTGGCGCTATGCCCATGTATAGTAGACGTGAATCCAGTCTACTTGTCGCGACTGACTTGGCGTGCGCAATTTATTATGAGAAAACTTCAAAAGCGATATCCAAATCTTGTAATCAAACAATACGTTTTTCGTCGACGCTGTGCAATATAATGTAATCAAGGTGAACGTCAAGGCATTTGACGTTGTCATGAACGAGTACCCATTTTGTTTTCTTGAAAATTAAAGTGTTACTTTTCGTAATAATGATTGATGTAGTGCATCTTAGAATAGATTCACAAATAATTATCAGAAGGATCAGAATAAGAGCAAAAGGAGCTGAAACGTTGTTGTGGCTGACGTTAATGTTATTTATTTCCTGGAGATAATTCCAAATTAATGAAAATACAAAGTTAGAAAGAATGCATGAAAAAGAACAGCAAAAAAATCAAGGCCTACCACCTTGAGCATGTACTATGCAAACACAGGGGACAGAAATGAAAGAAAACGGTAACCGCGCCCTCTGCAAACACCACAGGTTTTTATAAATGCACAAGTTGGCTCCAAGAACACTAACGATGTAGTTTATACTACTTATGATGGAAGGGGCCATACTAATAAACGACGACCTTGCGCGCACAGGCAAAATTACGATTTTAAAATCTTTTTACAGAGAATTAAAAATTCCACTTAAATTAGAAACTAATAGCGAAAACGATTTCATGGGATTTTCTCCAGAAAAAAAATAAACAAAGTCAGAAAACCTGAGAGAAAATGATCATCGAAGTCACACCCCTGTACATTTTCAATGGCCCACACACACTTGTTGCCGCCAAGGCCATTTGTGCGCATGCGTGCAAATTATGAATTCATTAGTGTAGAGGTCTATAAACGTTCAAGAGGGTGTCCATTCAACTTGCAATGATGTCATACGAGCTTATTGGCTCATGACATATCCCAAAGGGCTCTGTATATGCGTAGTATTATTTACAGTACCTCAGTTATAATTTGAGTGTGTGAAGTAGTGCTGTTAGTGCTCTTCCGCTGCATATGCCCAATTATCCGTAAACCGGACGAAGAGTGGCAGGTTTCAAAGTTCAGATGGAAAAAAAAGTAAGGGAACACCACTAGTCTTCTGAGAACAAAAGAGACTGATCCTCGTGCGCAGAGTTTATCGGATGACTGCCATAAGACAATGGCTCCCTCAGGCTACATCGCTCCCAACTGAGCTCCCCTCGGCCTCTGGCAAGTACACTGGGATGATAATATTACTGAAGGCTGTTGACCCATTTCAAGGAGTTTTTGTTTCATAGCATGACCAAAAAATGAGGTAGTCCGACCTTACCTGGAGGGGATCCTCTCTCACCCCCAACAAACCGAAGGCAGGAGTACAACGGTTTCCGGACCTGATTATCCCCTGACGTTTATTGATTAATTAAAGTTCAGGTTTAACCTGCACACTCCCAACTACATGAATAAGCCAGAGCAGTGCAAGGTAGCCTGCCCTCACGACATCACAGCACACTAGTACCCTAGTACACCTTCATGTAAGGCAGAGGTAGCCTGTGCTGTGCATTGATATTTTGCCAAACGTCCGGACTTGATTCTGAACAGTCTAGAAAAAAAAGAAGGCATTTTGTAATTGTGTTGAATGCTTTATTAATAAGCGAAACACTCGACTTCGGTGTGCATGAGCTAAGGGCGGATCCAGAACCATGGGTGGGAGCTAAACTTGTTTGTAGGGCTGCTAACCTTTCTTGGGTGGGGCTACAGTAATTTTGGGGGGTTTATACGCTTTGGGAGGGAGGGAAATGAAATAGAACCCCCAAATCACCTTTCTTTCATTATTAAAAAATGTCCAGGGCCAATGACCATATAGAGGTCGTTGTTCATGATGATTATGGTATTGGTATATCTGTATGGGCGGCATATTAATGGTTTTTAAAATTGTTTTCCCTTTTTTTTAAGTGATACTGAATGCAGTTTAGTCGTTGAAAGTATGAAAAATTCTTCAAATCCACTTTAATGTTTTGCTCTCCGCAAAAACCCGTGTGTGTGTGTGAGGGGGATGACTCATTATACCCACCCCCCCTCCGGATTTACGCCCATGCCAGGCTGGCGCTCACATTTCGACATGAATAAATGATATAAATGGAAGGCCAACCCTGCAGAAATCCCACGCTCTTTAACCCCCCCCCCGCGACTACTGCCTAAGCTGCCCCGTTGACACCTGACTGTTTGACTTCAAATCCAGTGATGGACGACGCCAAACGACCGGTCGGATTGAAACACTGAAAGTCGTGCATAATGTGAACACCTCAGGGTCTTTCGAGCTGGCCTTTGGCAGGAATTTCCCTGTGACAACTTGTGAAGTCGCGGTCTCGAGAGCTTCTTTACCCGCAGCCATCACAGATCGGAACCTGTTTCCTCTATTGTCTGGGAAGTCTGCGGCACACCATGTCTACTTCTCTGTCACGTATCCTCTCGCCAACTAGACCGTGCACGCATGAGTACTTATCCCAAGG